CATATATCATGTGATTTTCATATAATAAACAAGGGTAAATCACTGTCAAGGTCTTAAAAATAAGACTAGGTTACATCCCGTGCACGATACATTATAATTAAGGGAAAATTAAGGTCACGGGAAAGATTTCAATTATTATGGAGAGCGTTGGAATTTTTTATTCTTTTCTGTCACTATTTAATTTGTTTTTAATCACCAAAAGACTATTCTATCCTATCCTTCTTCTATTTTATCTATTCTAGGTTCCAGCTTCCCCTTCAGTTAGCTTTTTTCTATCCTTGTTTCTATCAAAACACGATTCTTTATTTCGTCTGGTCTTCTTTTCCCCTCCATAATTAAACTAAGAATCAACTACAATCTCACTGGAGCAATGGTTGTTTACAATAAATTAGGTCATAGATGAGATGGAGAAAATTGTTCAATCTTAATCATAAACTCATCCGGGTGCATGGAATTTATTAACCCAGGATCTATAATTGGATCAACCCATCATGTATAAGTTTTCCGAAAAGTCGTTGTAAAGAATATTTCCGAAAGAATTAATAATTTTGTCATAGAGATTTGAGAGAATACAAAATCAAATTATAGAGAAAGAGTATATCTCTGGGTATAGAGAATTTGAGATATTCAATCACCATGAACAAGAAACTAAAACTAGAACCAGATCAATTCTTCGTGTTTAGAAATCTTACAAAGTAGCCTGGGGAGATTGTTGCAAAATAAACGAGGAGGATGGGGAGAGAACTTATAAGGGATTTGTGAAAGAAAATAAGGTTAAGATAGTCTTTTAAAGACTTAACCCCATCAAAAGTAAGTAACTTTTCAAATAAATGAATTAACAATATTGATGCCCCTTCACAATAATTATGATCTTTCTTATGCCCTTAATAAATTATCCCTATATAATTAATAATTAGAGAAGTTAACTTTTCTTTCGTTTTCACAAAATTACGTCATTTTTGTTGGTGGGAAAAGATTAAATGTGATCGCGACATGTCAGCATGGACTCTTTTTTGGACTTCTGTCTTAATTAAATATAAGATAATATAATATATTAGGTGTTAAACCCGTCCATCGGACGGGATAGAAAATTTTTGTGAAAACAAACTATTGAGATTGATAAATGTTTCATGAAATAAAACATGTATTACAAATCTTGCAATATTTCTTTATACATTACATCCGTTGTCATTGTTATGATACTTGTCTTACAGACTTCACTACATATTAAAGTTTTGAGTCCTTTTTAAGATATAAATTTAAATAGTGCAACCGTACGACTGACCATGCCTAAAATTTGGAATTGTCATCCATTTTTTCCGCTTCTTTTGCTTAGTATTCCTTATGACTATTACTATACTGCCTAAGTCTGAGGATGGAAGATTTAAAAAATGGCGTGGTTGTGCTAATTGAAGATGTTGAATTGAGCAAATTATCTCTATATATAGACTGGAAGTTCGTTAATTTAACTATAATACATATTTTTATGTAAAAGAAATAACCATAATTAGACAATAAAAAATGTATTCCATTATAATAAAGAGTCAAGATTACGTTTACTTGAATCTATCTGTATCGAGAACATTTGATTTTGGATTAAGTGGGAATTAAATCAAGGATAATATATCATTTGAGATACATTATTGAAAATTAAAAGGAATATGTATAGTACAAACATGGAAAACATTACACATGAAACTGGATATATTATTTTCGTTTATTATTAACTTAATTAGTTACTGATTTAAATATTAAAGAGTTTGTGAGAGGCAAGGCATTAACTAAAAAGAAGTTGTATAATTTATAGAAAAAAAGTAAGTGGATCAAATTTATAGTTTTTTTTTTCAAATTCAATTTATAATTCTTTAGTTGGATGGATTTTGATAGGTATTTCATTATTTAAACTTAACCTGCATTGATTTAAATTGCTAATGCAAACATATATAAAATATTTATCACTCGCAATATCAATATCACCTTTAAAAATGCATAATGACTAAATTATGTTATGACAGATGTTAATATGAAATAACAAAAATTAAGGTCTACATCTTTATATATTGTAGACAATTAAAATTTTATAGAACACTTTTGAAAGCATTCCTGATGACATGATTTGCATCTTTTAAACAATACTTTATATAAAGGCAAAAAATTTAATATATTTATAAATATGGTAACTATTTCTATTCAAACTAAAATACACGTTACAGGATTAATAACCAAAAAAAAAAAAATTGCCTTTGTATAAAAAAATAAAACATTCTTAGTTCACCGATTGGAAAAGTTGATGTTGTTTTGAAACTATAGTTAATTTTTTTTTTTCAAGGCGATTTTAGACAAATGCAAACTTTAAAGTTTAAATTACAAAGTAGGTTAACTTTCATGTAACTAAACTAGGTAAAATTCTTAATTTAAGGTTTTGTTTGTGTTGACCGAGATGTCAGACTTAATTTGACAAATAACGGGAAAAAAAGTGAATGTAAAAACCAACATATTGAAAAGAAAGTAAGATGGAATAACATTAGTGTCAATTGGAAAAGCCGAAAAATTTATTTTATGCAATTAAATACGCATAAGTGGAAAGTTGTGATTGCAATAAACAATAACTTACTGTACTGGGAAGCAATATCAATTAGATGCAAGAATCCAATATCAAAAATACATTAATTTATATTAAGAAGAAGTTTTAACTGAATTCTCATATATATATATATATATATATATATATATATATATAAACAATCATATATTTTACATACAAATAAGCAAAGAACATCTTTGAATTGTATCTGATATATTATAATAATTGTAAAGAACAACGTACCATTAGTATTTATAATCTTGTTCTTGCCAGATGAACAAAAAAAATGATTGGACACCGCATAATTCGTTATTCCAGACATAAAATCGAAGGAATTAGTAATTGAGGATTGTATTATCTTGAACTATCTCTGCCGCATTTCCTTCTCCATTTGTATGCTATAATCATTCGCCTCTCGTATTTGGCTTGTGCCGCTTTTCTTTGGAAGAAGGAGGAAGGACTTTATTTTTCCAAACATCAAGAATATGTTTCCTCTTCATTCTTGCTTTAACATAACTTCCGTATTCCAATTGGAATTGGAGAAATAAATTTTGCTTGTATTTTGTAGTGGGTTTCGAAACTGAGAAAACATGGCATGTGTTACATATAGGTTACTCTATGTACAAGAGTACATCTAGTTAAGAAAACAGAATTTATCTATCTTTTGGAATTCAGATTTTTAATTTTGAAAATAAGATCTATAAAAGGTTAGGATTTTATACCATAAAGATTCTTGTAAATATTTGATCATTTAAACAATGGATTTGGGATTAATAATGTGATAGTTTCAAATAAGTTGACTTGTCGAAAGAAATATTTATAATCTCTTGTTTACTACGAAAGGATATTAATTTTACCATGTTATGACAAAAAGTAAATAATAACATATAATTTTAACTGAATATATAATTTTTTTCCCTTTTTAATAAATCAAAAAATGGAGAAAATTCCCAATCCTACTTGGCAGTTGGAAAACTATCACAGTTTCTTCTCTCTGAGTTTTCTATTATTAAGTTATATAGAATAGATATATAGATAGATATATTGATTACAACGATTCTTTTTTAGGCATAATTCTATAGGCAAGTTCTTAAATTATATTTTCTCCTCCCTCTTCTAATCTAAATATTTGGTACAATATTTTATTCTTGTGATTGCTCTCTTTGGTTTTTTTGCAAACTGAATTCCTCTCATGGTGAATCAAGTGAACTATATTTAACTTAATTCTTTTAGGTGATAATTACATCTTTCTTTACCCAGATGACCCAAGGCATATAAATTATTGAATGATTAACTCCAAGAACGATTTGGTTGATCTCCTTTTCTTTATTCATTTATGTGGTTCCCCAATCTGTGAATTTCTTATTTCCAGCCAAATCATCAAAGCAAGTTTTTTGGTTCCTCTCCAAAACTAATATACTTTCTTCCCTTGATTTGTTTAACACTTAAGGTCTCTTTTTATCCATAATTCCTGCACCATTGTCTTCACAATCGTCATAATCTTGTTGCTGTGAACTCATGGATTGTTGCAGCAGAATCAAGAACTTCGCCTAAAATAAGATCAAGTTTTGTGCATGGCACACTTCATCCACTGGCCTATTCTCTTCTTGCTTGTTAATAATCGGTTCTTGAAAGTTGAACTCTTTTATGCTTCAAAGTTGAAACATATTTCTATTTATAAGAGTATATAATCGGTTTTTAAAATTCAGAGTGTTGAGTATCCACATAAATTTCCATTAACCTTTGCTTTCCATATGGTTCTTCAGGTGGTTTAATCAAGAAACAATAATTTCCAAGTTAGATTTTCCTCCTGAACATCAACATGTCATATTCATCGATAAATTTCTAGCAACAAAGTGGAAAAAATTATTTTGACTACTTCCTCAATTTCAGGGAAAAAAAAATAGCAAATAGTTACAAATTATGTTTGGTTAACAAATTGAACAATTTTGATGGAAGGAAATAATCATCTTACGCACTATTATGTTGATAACGAGTTACTCTTTTACTAGGGGGTACATTGCCTTGACTTCATTAATAATTATACTCCCTCCGTTCCATAATTATTGTCCAGTTTAAATTTTTATTTTTAGTTTAAATTGTACTAAAAATGAAATCTTAAACTGGACAATAATTTTGGGATAGAGGGAGTATTATATAAACTACCCTTACGGCCTAACCGTCCCAAACCTATTCTTTGAATTGAAATTTTGTTTTTAGTTTAAATTACACTGAAAGCAAAAATCAAAACTGGCAATTATTTTTGGAACGGGAATAACTCTTCCAAATGATTAGTTAGTTTCTTGTAAAAATATATGTATACAACTTGGATAATAATTTCAGAGTACTAGCTATCACTTATCACCTCTTACTAGAGAGCTCTGTTACTTATGATTCCTTTTGCTGTGGATGACAGGTGGCAGGTTGCTGCAAAATACTTATCAACCTGATAATGACCACACTCTCTCGTCCTATAAAATGCTATAATCCTCTTAGATTTGGATATGAGAAAGACAATGTATTTAAACCGCTTTGGCCGTTTGGCCCTGAGGGTTGGAGAAAACATAGTGAGGAGGAGGGCCCAGAGTTCAAACAGAAATCCGCGGTGAGTGTTTTAGAGATGGTAATGAATATGTCAGGATTTGACAGCCGAAGGCTTGTTGATGAACTAAGAGATATTTTACCAATAGTCAAGGAAGCTTATCCAGAAAGTGGGCTACATAATTGTGACGATGAAGAAGTGATAAAGTCGTTTGCTGCAGATGGTTGTGTCTTTATCCTTGTAGTGTTCTCCATTCTTGGTGTGGAATTAGGTTTCCCGGAGCAACATGCCCTCCTTGGCAAGGGACAGGTGCGCGAAGGAATTGAGAAATGGCTAAGGTCGATTTTTTATGTGGGTAACCAGATCCCCCTTTACGTTGTGGAGAAATTGATAAAATCACTCAAGCACTTAGGAGATTTGTGGGAAAAAATTAAGGATAGTCAGCCATCAGGAATATTAGAGAAAACATTGTTTAGGTTCATGACTATTGATCCCTCTCAAGTATCAAAACCAGTCGATGTGATGGAGTGTCTGCGATCAGTCATCCTTGGACCACAGTCATCACAACTTTGCATCTGGGTAGTCGGGAGGAGTGATATAGAAGGCAAGACGATACCAACAAAATCAGCCAGTGCACTTTCCAGATGCGGCTATGTTTTTAAGCCATTGCCGGATGAATTTGGGAGTAGGGCAATCAAATGCGAGCATCAATGGGGGAAGGTCGCAGTTTACTTGCCTTGTATCGAGGTTTTTAGTGCCGCATGGCTAGAGTTGATGTTTACAAGTGTCCGAAACTATGAGTTCCTTCATCACGGCCCTATATTTCAGCTTGAGTCAACACACTACTTCAACTTGTTAAGTACTTTGATTCGCTCACTAGATGATGTTAAAGTCCTTGAATCCGGGGGTGTACTTGGAGGGGTAGACCTTGACTCTTTGCCTCGTATCCTACAACCCTTTTATAAACCGCCCCCATTTGATCCTCTGCACTTGAAAGAGATTCGCAGTTATAACCCCCGGCTCGCAGTCTTTTGGAATTTCAAAGGCCGGATCATTACTTCCCTGGTCGTATGTAATATACTATTAACTCTCCAGCTCGCATCCTTACAGACAGGGTATACCATTCTCGGTAACTATAAGCATCACTGATTACGGGCAGTAGAGAGGTGAGTATTTCTGGTTGTTTTATGGTTTAGCATGTTATATTTCTTTTTTCCTTTTATCTTATTTTATGTTATACAAGTTTTTTTTTTTTTTTTTGGTTACCTTTTTTATTGTTTGATAGGCAGTCATTTTAGTAATCTATTTAGATCATGCCACAGTATCAATTTTCTTTAAAGTTTACATCTCCACTATATTCTGCAATTTAATATGGACCAATATCTCTCGGCCTAAAATGGAGAAATCCGCTTAAACGTCTAACCAGTTCCTACAATAACGAGGAAAAATGCCTTAAATGTTAACAGGTTCTAACCCATTTATAGGGTGTTGGTGACCTTGAGAAATTTTAGGATATTATATATTTCCTCCGTTCCATAATTATTGTCCAGTTTGAATTTTCATTTCTAATTCAAATTATACCAAAAGTGAAATTTCAAACTGAACAATAATTTTGGGACAGAGAGTGTATATCTTTTGCTTGGGGTCTCATTATTTTGAAGTTGTAGTTTTTACTTTTTAATTTTTCCTTAATGCCTACAATAAATGTTTTTCTAAAAGAGGCTTATGCATCTCGATTTCGGATTAGTCAAGGTTATAACTTTGAATATCTAGTGTAGTGTATTCAAAAAAAGGAAATTCATTTTCCGTCCCTCTAAATTCATAGGGGTGATATATTTTGAGATGGCTGATATTAGCTTGCGTATGTAAAAAAATATTATAGGATAGATTAGACAACTCTTGACGTAAATCAGATTAATTAGTTTTAGTATCTACAATGTAACTATGTAAGTTGTAAACCGCTCATCTTGTGCCAAAATAATTTGTTAGAGGAAGAGTTGAAGTAGACTATTTGACATTATAGATGGAGTATTAGTTCTGAAAATCAAACACAGCATCATCATGCTTATCTGCACTCCTTATTTGCATTTCACATTCTCAGACTTCCATCACATTTCTATGCCTATGTCCGCGAAATATTTGTTTTCCTGTTGCAACAAGTTTTGAATCCTCCATTTTACTTATTGCTTTATCTTCTGCATAATCTGCTAAACTGTTTTGACTTTGACAAATTCTTCAGGTTCTCTCTGTCCACAAAAAATAATTTAATCTTGTTACTATAACAGAGAGAATTGTTTTGCGTCACCTACTCACCTTATATCGATGATGTGTTGAGGCTCGAGTGCGTAAATGACTTTCTTTTATGGTTGAATTAGTGCAAGTATTATGGGAGTGTGCCTTAATTGTTGATTCGTCTTACTCCATCCATCCCAAAAAAATAGTCCATATTGAGTTTGCAAATTTGTACTAAAATCAGTACAAAACTCAAAACTCAATAAGGACTATTTTTTTGGGACGGAGGTAGTATTTCGAATGGGGTTCGTGCTTTGGATTTTCGCAACCGTGTCCATTCTTGGCATCGCCACCATTTAAAGCCAGATTTTGCCATCTCCAATGTGCTGGAGCTTTCCGCTTTCCCTAATTGAATCTCTCCCTCACTTTACCTTTTAATTCTTATCAGTTTTCCCGCGCCAAATAGATTCAGTTTTTGCTTCACCTTGCAGCCAGTGCCCAGGTCTACTTGATAAAGCCTACTTCATTCCAAGCTTCAACCTCATAAATGTTCAATCCACCATCAATTGTAGTTCAGCAAGACTGATCCAAAGTTACCAGAGGATATGAATCATGTGATAGCTTTGTTTTCCGTTTAGTACACCACATGTAGTTGGTGTTGCATATTCCCATGATTTTATTTCCTTTATTTTCTTAGTTTATTTGGTCTTCTAAGAAGGGAAACTGATCAAATATATCCAAAAAAGCTGACGCATACCCCTCATCATGTGATCATAGTATTGTCTTTTCAATAACTACTTTTCTCATCCATAGTGAAAGTAAAATAGTGAAAGAGTGTTTAGGGAGGACATTCCTTACTTGATTCCTCATACATAGTATTGTCTTCTTTTTCTTCTTCTTCTTCTTCTCTCTCTCTGGAATCCCCATATAAAATGAAGGAAATAGACTATGTTAAGGATTACATTTTTACTTCGCTTATATGTAATGTCAAAATTGCAAATATTGTTCTCTATAGTTTAAATTACGGAGTATTATTGTCAACGATCACGGCTAAACTTGTTTTCTTTTGTGTAGCAGGTAAAGGGAATCAGGGGCTGATTTTTTCCTTTTTCTTGTATTCATCTGTTGCTGGGGCAGAGAAGAGCGATTGTAAATAGAGACCTTTCCGTTTAGGGTCTAGGTAGCAAAACGTTTATAAACCATAACTCATATTTCCTTTCACCATTGAGATATAGTATAGTGCTAGACCCTTAAATTAGCTTTAAATAGCATAAAACTTGCAGCAGGGAGTCGAGTGCCGATTGATGCTATGATCTTGCATGCTCGTTTTGCTACCAATGTAAGTGAGCAAGGACCATTGCAAGGCTAAACACTCCTGGGCTTTTTCCCAACACTCCTGAGCAATTCCTCTTTCCTTTGGGTAGCTTGCCTATTAAGTTCAAGTATCAAGAGACTGTATTGCGACGAACACCTTCTTTTTTTTTTTTCTTTAATACTTCCTCTGTTAAGAAAAAATACTCATTTCACGCTGAACTTTAAAATTTGTACTATTTTTAGAACAACGCAAAATAGATAAAAACACATTCTCGTCCCATATATTTAAAAACGCACATTTTCGTCTTATTTTATTGTAAAATCTAAATATCACAATATTTTATGTCTCAAATCACTACTCCGTCTAATCTAATCTACCGTAAAAAGACAAAGATATTTTCGATAGTTAGGCCGGTTTCTGGTTTTTCTCTAATTAAGAAACCAAATAATAATTAAATGAGTTAAAAATATTTGTAAATTCAAAAAGAAATAAAAATAATCAAAAAAAATTTTTTTTGTTAATTTACTCGATGAGGTCACTGTAATTTTTTTTTTGCAGTAAATTGCAAATAATAATTAAAAATTTTCAAATTCAAAAAGTTTAACTCCATTAATTTTGTGGGACCCGTTGCAAACACGAAATTTTTTAATTAAGTTTTGCAAAAGTAAACCCTAATACATATATATATATATATATATATATATATATATATACTTTGTATTACTTTTCAGAATTTTACAGCCACCAATTCTCCCATATATAGTGTCACTAGACTACTGTTTACAATTAAGATGTATACCAAGCTGACTAAAAAACCTTATATCATCATTACTACTAAAACGACTATGAAACTGAATTTCCCAATTGACCTCTTGAATGATAGCAACTTTCCTTTCTTCTGAAGTTTTCTGTTGTTTGTCAAATCTCCTTCCATTTCTCTCAGCCCAAATATGATAAGTAGCAGCAGCAATAGTGACATACAGAACCTTTAACAGTCTGGAAATCCAAGCATTAAGATCCCTTGCTGTTAAATTCAGACCCAACCAGTGCAACAACTTCTGAATAATCTCCTTTGTATAAACACAATAACAATAACAAAAACATATGCTTTCCATCCTCTTCTGGTCTTGCACAAAGCTCATGTTGGAATTCTACTTCATGAATAGTGGACAACAATGGCTACACTAGATCAAAGAACAAGAGAAAGAATTTATAGTTAAGATAAAAGAAAGTTTTGTCTCCAAGTCACAAGTAAACTTACTTTCCTTTAGGCTAAATTCGCCCACTACATAGTGTAATTGTTTAGGCGAATTCTCTATGAGATAAAATGGAGATCATGTTGTTTCACTATGCACTTTAGTGAACCAACAAACTGATACAAGGATAAGAAATGTAATTGGAAATATTCCAAGTATTTGGTGATTTCATTGTACACTAAAATCATCCAAATGATCCATATTTATAGAGTTTTAGGAAACTTTTGAGGATTAGACATAACCCTTGGTTATGGACCTAGACATAACTTTTCGTTAATGTCTTTTTACATGGAGCTCATAGGCACAACCTATTACTTGTATCTCTACAATATATTGAAAACACCTACTAGGCACAACATATTAGTTGTGTCCCTATAATATATTAAAAATAACTCCAACAATCCCCCGCTATTTTCAATATATTGAAAATGATTTTTAAATAGATCCACAATAACTCCAGCAAAACCCATGCATAAAATAATGGTTTCGTTAGACTTGAACCACTACCTTAGTGTCGGTTTCATAACTTGTAGTACAATCCGGTAGATTAGCTTTGAACCGTGCGTACATATTACAAGCCACTATTGTCAACACACATAGATTTCTTTCTCCTCAACTTGCATGTACCTTGCCAGTGCATGTAGTACTTAAGGTCTTGTACCCATATCTCTTCATGAATATTAACAAATCCATGTCTCAAGCTTTGTGGATGCCCAATCCGACATTCATATAGGAAAACTTCTTAATGCCCCCGCTATTTTGGCATTTACAAGAGTTTGTTAAGAGCCAATTCTCAACCTGATCCCCAGCGGGAATTATATAGCACTAACTACTTTGGGATAACTATTGTAGTGCTCAATTACTTGTACATTGTACTATCGCTCATTGAATTCAAGACTAGAGCATTTACTAGTGTCGAATTGAGGTTCCAATGCAAGCAATAATTTATGGACTTTACCATATCCCTTTAAGACATTCAGTCTTTAGATCAAATATCTTTCAAGATCTAGTCCTTACTTATGAGTTTGTTAACTCAAATTTTAAAGATCATCTCTTCACACGAGTCTATTGACTCAAGTCTTGGCAAGAATTTTAATTCTCATATGAGTTCATTAACTCATCTTGTGATCACAATTTAAATAATAATGCATGCAAACTGTTAATTACTATGATCATATTTAGAAAATTGAAGAACCAATTTGTTCTTTCAAACATTTCATTCAACCTAATAATGAAATCATCCTCCCTAATATGAAGTTTTGAAATCACCATGTCTGATTTCTTTCTTCATATTCCTGGAAAAATTAGCTCCATTTCTTTTGTTACAGGAATTTTACACTTGAGCTCTTAGTGACATTCCTTTTAACAATATGGTATCTTTCCTATTACCTTATTCATTATTATTTAAGTTGATATTATTTCAAAATGGACTTGATACTTTGTCCATTTTCTATACTGTGGACTTAGGTCAAGGATCATTCTCATTTTCCTTCAATCTTAATAGAGAATTCTTTTATTCTCTTTAAACTTTTTCATTCTATATGAAGAGTTCCAAATTTTTCAAACATATGATCTCCCTTTTCTTTGAGATCTCATGGAAATTTTAAAGTATTTACACAAACAATTCAAACATAGAGTAAGACATGAATTTGCAAACAATATATTAACACATATGATGTGAATTCATAACTATATCACCATTGTCATACTATAATTACCACAAATAAGTGTAGCATCAATTTAAATTAAGCTACTCGCACACATAGTTAGTTTTATTTGTTACTTGTCATGTAACTTTGCACATGTCGAATTTGAGGTATTACAACAACAAGAGATTTTGCTACTAATATTTAAATCTTGTTCCCATAACAAGATATATACCACAAATCAAAATATTTAGCCCTTGTTGTTGCTTCTTAGCCTCAATGACTCGATTATTGATCTCAGTTCAAGTTGTCTCTTTTCATTTTCTTTTAACCATTGTCAACATTAACGTGTACATATCTTTATTGAAGACAGCATATTAAAATCAATAGACCTGATTATTATGTGCATATCCTGTGAAAATGCACGAAAAACCTCTTTCTCCCAACTTCCTTGTATTAGGTTATGGGACCTTGACAATTGACTAACAACCTCAAATTCTTAGTGATTGAGGTTCAATTTTCTTTAGTTCGAAGAAAAATATATAGGGCTTATAGAATCTCTTGTATTTAGAGTTCTATCAATATATCACAAGCTGTTGAGCAACTTTGCCCTTAAGAATTAGTTAAATGCCATACTTAGACAACATCAATTTTGCTTAATGTCTTAAGCATTAACACACCTTTCTACAGGTGTATAAGAAGCAATACTTTATTTTGTACAAGCTCAAAAATTTTGACTACATTTCACATAGGTTCATATATGATAAAGTACATGCATATAAACTATAAACATTATCATGAATTCAACTCTTGATTTTAATTTGCATACATCACTCTAAATTCAGTGAATTCAATTAAAATCATATATATAATTTTGCAAGTCACATACATCATATTTAATTATTAACTATATGTGCATATTCATTTGAGATAGAAGTTCCCTTTAACTTTTAACATATCGTATGATAAGTTTTACGGGAATCACTCAGGTTTCAATAAATTGATTGAACCTTTTAGGAATTTTCTCAATCTAGCGAGGCAGAGTATGTGTGATTGTATCACACTTTCTCTCAATTCCTTTTTCAACCAAGACATTTAGTCTGACCAGGTATTCAATCTCAAATTTAATAGATAACAAATTTTTCTTTTTGGTTTCTAAAACTTATTCCAAGTCTATATATACCAAAAAAATTAACTTGTCATTTACATACGAACATATAATGACCCATTTGTCATTTGAATGTTTATTCAATATGCACTTATTTGATTCATGTTTATTGAATCAACACTACTTGTTTTCATACCAAAAAATAATTTCACAAATTTGAGTTTCTATGTACAATACATAAAATATCATTATCATACAATAATGATAACTTTGACATATTCGTAATGTATGTTGATATAATAATATATCATATAGACCATATATCATGTGAATTTTCATAAATAAGACACAAGTTTAACTAGTATTTTTTCATTAACAACCTTTCGATTTATGTCTCTTGAATGACTAGACATAACATGTCATTCATATGTTTTTCATTCACGTCCTTTGGTTTTACTTTACCTTTTAGATGACTTGACACGATTTTGACTCATGTCTTTTCAAGTAAAAATTATCATACATCACTTTATGTTGATACCTCTATACTTGTCACGGTTAGACACAAATTTTAGTTTTTTGTCATTTTGCCATGAATCTCTAGACACAATTGTTCATTGTTGTCTTTTTATTTAGACTTACTAGACATACCCTTTATTGTATCTCTTCATCCAAATAAATTAAAAAAGTCACAATGATTCATGAACGACACCTTTTCGGGTTAATGATTACTAACAGTTTGTGTCACTCCATGAAAATTATTCATTCATACAAAATATTCAATTTAATCATGAATAATGCATTACGTGTACAAAAAACAATTTATATGAATTTCATATAAATTGCAAATTCATTTAAGCAATTAAAGTTCATCATTTAACAAACACAAATACACGAAACTAGCACTTTATTGGGATCAAAGTTCCTTATGTGATTAACCCAAAATCAAATAATTAATATGTGATGCACTCACTAAGATTCTGCGCACAAGAATTTATTATTTTATTTGTTTTGTTTTACTTAAATTTTCGTCGTTGACTTTTCCGTCGACTTTATCTAGGCGACGACTAAGTCGACGAGGCCAAACAGCCAGGCACTTTAATAGATGTCGACTTTTCTGTCAGCTTCAATTTGGTCGACGAACAAGTCGACATAGCCAAACAAAACGCATAACAAATTCCAACAGATGCCGACTTTTCTGTCGACGTTCTTTTATCATCAACAAGGTTGACGCCACTTAGCAAAAAATTTATAACATGCAATACAAGCAATATTGCTATATCACATAAATGCTAATTTTG